TCAAAATGTTTCAATAATGGACCTTGATAACATTTTGCTGTCATAGAAATCAACTCTACCCATCTAAGAATGTTATTTACTACGGATATGCAAGAAGGGTATTGATCATATGTGCGAATAAATTACCCAACATTCAATTTAGTGCAGAAACAAAAAAAGAGAGAGAATACAATAACTGATAGTAAGTCACATGATATAAAGTCACATGATATAGAATGTATGAAGGGCCTTTTGTCTTGTTTCAGTAAGGAGGAATGAGTTTGAAATTATCTGTATCTATACCTAATGTTCTTTGAGGATATATCCAGGGTGATTTTTATGCTTCTGATGTATGTTGTTTATTTTTCAGAATCAAAAAATTCTATAGTTTTGAGTTAGTGACTGTGTTAATATTTTTCCTTCATTACTTTAATTTTGGTATAATTGGCTATTATGGACAAATATTCAACAGTATATTAAAACAACAATATGTGAAATATTTAAAATGTTAAATTTTGTAATGTCTAGCCATGGTCCTTTTTGTTGCTAGTGATAAAGTACATAATTCATTTAAGGAATATAATGGGAATACATCTGAGAATGAGGGGAATACCATTAATTTTAATCTTTTAAAAGTGTTTTTAGAAAAAAGTCTAATATTTCCGTGCTGAAAGAGACTTGGTTTTAATTATCTTATTTTATACAGGCAGTATGATTAGCTTTTCTGTATATATTTTTTTTTTTGTAGGAATGCTGCCACTTTTGGTTAATGGCACTGATAAAAAAGGACAGTACAATTATTATTATATCTCATGTGATATTTAGGGGAAAGATTGATGGTCAAAAGTAAAAACTATGGGACTGAAATAACAGAAGGCAATTACTATACCAAAGAAACTTTTAAGAATAAAATGTATAATCCATACTATTATATCCATGTGATGCAAATATTATGTTGTAGATTCTAGACAAGATAGAGGAGACAAATAAAGAAAAAAATGCATATTCTTGATTTTAAGGTGCAGTTGCTTTAGGAAATGAATAATGGGTTTTTGGCACTTCTTCCTTGGAGGACTATGAAAGGACCAGGTTATTTAAGAAATCACTGGTGTGGTCAATAACAAAATATTAGATTTAGACATCATAGGCCTAAACTGTAGTTAGAGGTATTCATTGGTGATTTTACTTGTGCAATGCTTTATGAATTCTATTGAAAGATACCTCACATAAAATGGAAGTGTGGTCACTTGTGATTTTTGGTTTTGGAACCTGTCAGGGCTTCACAATATTTGCTTTGCACATCAATTAAAGCAAACATACATGCATGCTCCTATAAGTGTGCAAGCATAGGCAGAGCCTTTCTAAATACATCACTCATGCATTTACATACATACACACTTGTTCCAGTAAACAGATACATTTAGACATTTACACTTATGGCACATATGTATGTCAGTTAAAATCTGTGCGTATGTTCATGCATGTGTGCATGCCTGCATGTGGGTGTGAGCGTGTCTGTGTTTGCGAGTGTGTGCGTCTGCGAGTGTGTGTGTGTGTGCGTGCGTGGTGTGCATGTGCATGTGCATATGTGTGTTTGTGCGCCTGATTGTGTGCAAGTTTACGAGTGTGTGAGTGAGAGAGTGTGTATTGTGAGAGAGAGAGAGTGAATGAGAGTGAGTGAGTGAGTGAGTGATGAGTGAGTGAGAGTGATGAGAGTGAGTGATGAGTGAGTGAGAGTGAGTGAGTGAGTGATGAGTGTGTGTGTGTGTGTGTGTGTGTGCGTGTGCATGTGCTGTGCATGTGAGTGTGTGTGTGTGTGTGTGTGTGTGTGTGTGGTGTGTGTGTGTGTGTGTGTGTGTGTGTGTGTGTGTGTGTGTGTGTGTGTGTTGTGTGTGTGTGTGTGTGTGTGTGTGTGTGTTTTGTGTGGATGAATGTGTGTGTGTGTGTGTTTGTTGATATATTTGCTTGTGTGTGTGTGTGTGTATGTGTGTAAAAACATGCACAAGTATCTGTATGTTTTTAGAAATTAAGTTGTCCATATTACCATAAGTAATTGTTACAAAAATATATGTAAGATGTGCTTCACAGGAGCAGCATAGAAGTCCTAATTGCAATTTTCATAAACTGGTAATCAGGGTCACATAACATAAGAGATCTCCCTCTTGCAGCTTGCTTGATAAAACCATTTATTTCAATTTTTTGCTCAATGGGGAGAAGTGTGACAGTATTATTTGAAAGGGAAACTTGCAGATCCCTTGGGCATTTTATTTTATATGTACTGATACTGTTATTAATTGTTACATGTTAAATCATAGTACAGTTAGTCAGAGATGTTTGTTATGAATGAGGTCATCCAGAAGCAAGATTTCTGAGATGTCACAGCACTGTTGTTCGTAAGACTAAGGAACGGACAGTGGCTCGTATCATTTTTCCCATTCATTCACTCATTTCCCATAAATGCCATATCCAGTTGAGTGATGACAAGAAATGAGATGAAAAACATTAGCAAGCCTCACAGATTATTTAGATAACACACCTGTGTATGATGTTTATTTTTGTTAGCATGAATGTAAGATGGTTGTCTGAAATTTTGCCTACTATCAGTTTCATCAAATGTATTTTATTTTTGTTTATTGTAATACACTGCAGTTTTGATAACAACTAGTGAATGCTTGGGATCATCTTAATAGAAATATTAAGATTATTTGCAATCTTTGTTATTAATGTCTGTTAAATGTGGAATATCTTTGTAAGAAAAAAATATAAACTTAAGAATCTTCTACTTATGTGTATGGCATCCAGATATTTTCAGATCTAAAAGATAGTATACATAAGGAAATTCATTTGTTTTGTAATTGTGATTGGCATGGATATGGGTAATTGTATTTGTTTTATGAAGATCTAGTCTCCTTGCACTTCTTAATTTTGTAAATTTAAGGAGAAGCATATTCATTCATCCTTGAGGGTGAAGATAATTTTATCTTTTCTTTAAGGTTGTGTACCATTATGTGTCTGTTGTAGAAAGCGTACAAAGAAGGAGCAGGTTAATTAAGCTGGTAGGGCCATACCTTTTTTTTCTATTGATGGACAGGTAAACATGTAAAATCATCTCCTATTGTCTTTGATTTGCAAGTAGTGGAATATGCAGCAGATACATGTTTTTAATGTCATGAACTGTGTATGATTTTTTTTTTATATGAAGATGAGGGTTACTTAGTAAAAACAGATTCATTCTTGTGATAAGCTTGTAATGTTTGCAGATTTTATTGAATTATAGAACAAATAAACGAAAGAAGAAAAGACTGATAGATAAATAACACTGATTATTGATTTTGTTAATGGAAATGCAGGTGAATGATACAGGATATGGCATTAAAGTGACTTTTTTTCTTTATCCTGGTGTCTAATTTTAGCTTTGAGTATTGTAATAAGTAGCTTCCAACTTCTGCTGACATGACAATCTTATCATTCCAGGGTTTTCTGCCCTAGAGCTTATTATGACTCTTTTTGGTCTAGGTTTATATTACTACTATATTTTAAATGCTGCAGTACACCTCACCTAATTGCAGGAACAAGTCAGATATTATTTTATACTTTGTGCGAGATCATAAACATCATTTTGGTCATCAGATCACATACCCTTTGGAGCAGGGTACATGCACTGTTTACTGTGCTTTTGTTTTATTTAATTTCGTTAACACTTGGATGGCATTACAAGTGCTGAATCACCAGAGAGTCAAAAACTAGGTCTACCGAAGCTCGCCTATTAACAGAATTTTGATTAAAAGTTTGTAATTGCATTACTCTTTTTATCACTTTTAATATTATTATTATCATTATTATCATTTTCATTATCATGATGTTCTTATATTAACCCATCAGCGACGGGTAAAAATTTTGTCAAGTTTACGTATGCACTGGCTTGTTGGCGCGCACTGGCAGTTTCCCCTGTTTGCGCCCAGCTCGATCGGTAGTTTGCGAGCGACATATAGCACCTAAAAGCTTTTATTTTGCTATAATTTATAAAAATATTAAAATTTTGAAGGTTTACCTTCACTTTAGGTGCCATTGCCTAAAATCTTTACCATATAAATGAAGCCGCTACTAGTGGAGAAAAACAACCTCCTTCCGACGAGCCAGTAGCGCGGGAATGGGCATGGCATGATGCCCCCGGCGTTTGGTCCACAACAGCCATGGCATGTACGTACGTGACACCCGCCGCCAATGGGTTAACAGGAATAATAGTAATAAAGATAAAAACTGAGGGTGAACAGGTTAGGTCAAGTATGCTTTGTTGTTGACTCCTCGGAAGCTAATAAAACAAAACAAAACCATGATTAGTGCATGTTAACTTGCACCTCTGGCATCATTGGTTTATATCTGTGCTTTTGAGTAGGATTATAGTAACACTGCATTAGTAAAGGCCTGGGCAGAAGTCTGTAAGTATGGTAGGACACATTTTGAGAATACTCTCTGACAGATTTTGAACTGTATCATAATTCCGATATGATATAGATATGAGGATGAATATGAATATTGTTATTATTATGTATTTTATCACTGATCATAATGGTCATGGAAACAAAAAACATACTGCAATACCTATTGGAAGCTTTGCGTGAATTGTATTTATCTTTAAAAATCTAAATTATCATTGTAATATCAGTTAAATATGCACAGCATGCTGATGTAAAATTAGAAAGTGGTAAGGAAGATGGAAATATGTAACAAGTTTAGAAAATATAAATATATTCCAATTTTTATTTGGTCGAAATTGAATTATGTCGTGAACATCAATCCTGTGTACTCTTTTGAAAGCGTAGTAAATGTTCTATGTGAATATGTGATTTAGGCGTGAAACTAGTCAGTGTGAAATTTTGATATTTTTCCTAGTTTTTAGATATACTAAAATATTTGTAATCATTTTTTATCAACTTAATGTATAATTATACAATTATCCTATATTTGTGAGGAAGGTTGTTGAGGAGCCACAAATACAGCGCAATATTATTTTATTGATA